AAAAAAAAAAAAAAAAGCCAAAAACCGCGCCATCCCAGTCCTCATTCAGCCGCCATAAAGATCAACAGATTTTACGCAACACAAAACATGACACGCGGCTGCAGCCTCGGTATATCGTTTATAGCAAGTTTGCGAGCCACGGCACAAGTGCTCTGCAACAAGACCAGTCAGCATCGTCATCAAAGCAAAGGGATCAAAAAAACACATACCCAACGGCGACTGTGGCGCCAATGCCAAACAGAGCCCTCTTCTGTATCCTGCCCTTGCGCACTTCCACCTCCGTCTTTACCTTTTTTGAGCGCGGCGCATCGCCGGTCTTGTCGTCTCCCTCGGCAGCTTCCTCGTCCTCGTCGGCGGCCTTCCGTTTGCTCTTCGCAAGAGTCTTGTCCTGGGTAGTCTCGACCTCGGCATCCTCGTCGGCCTTCTCCGCCGCCTCCTTGTCCTTCTGCACCATGGACTTGGCGGCGTCCATCATCTCAGCAATCTCCTCGGCGGAGGGCGGCTGGCCCGCCGTGAAAGGAATGTGAGCTGGCACGTCTGCCTTGCTGGAACCGTCGGCCTTGTCCCTGCTCTCCAGAGTAATGGCGGGCTCGAATTCTGTCGACGTGAAAACGCCCTCTGCCGTCTCTCCCTTGCTCTCGCTGGCACTTTCCGCATCGACACTCGGTGTCGTCTCCACAGCCTCAGCCTTGGATCTGGTGGTGCGCTTTCGAGGTGACGCAGGGGCGCGCCTCGTGGCGCTCTTGGTAGGGCTGGCCGAGCGGTGGCTGCGGCCGCTGCGGGTGGTCGTAGTGGCCGAAGGCGACAGCTGCGGGCCGGCCTTGAGGCGATCGAACTTGGGCGGCGCGGTGATGTGCTTGGGCGACGCATCCGCGGGCTGGGTGGTGGAGATCTTGGAGGGGTCGAGCAGGGCCTGGATCCAGATGCTGATGTTGTACTCCTCCGCCAGGGCGAGGGCCGCTTCCGGGGGAATCCAGATGTTGCCGGCCGTCTCCTCGGGGCTCGTGGTGGGCTGGGCCTTGATGAACCTGCGCTCGGCCTCCTCCTCAGCGGCCGAGGCGTAGGGAAAGGTGGCCTTGAACATGCCCGTCGCGGAGATGTAGCCGTCAAAGCTGCGGCGCATCAGGAAGTAGCTGTTGGGGCTGGACTTGAAGATGCCGGACACGATGCCCTTGGGCAGCGGCGCGCGCAGGTGTGCGTAGTCGAAGAAGCCCAGGGCGTCGGCCTCGGCCTCTTCGTTGCCGACCATCTTGGGCGTCAGCTTGGTCTGGCCGAGGCGGCGGCGCGACACGAGCTCCGAGTCTGCATCGTTTGCGCGTCAGTGCTGGGTTCGGGGAGGGCGCAATTGGCGAACAAGACAGCGCGCGGAAAAGAAAGGACGGTGGAGATGACGTTT